GGCACATAACCTTTCTCTCTCGCTCGAGCAACGCGACTGACAATACGTGGAGATCGTCACGTAGCTAAGTCGCGAAGAGAGCGTCGAGGGGAGGGGGTGGGGAGGGGAAGGGATGGCTCTTGTAGAAGGGATAGGGAGCAGGGAGGAAGGGAGGGAAGGAGGGAGGGAGGAAGAATGCAAGTATTATACAGTTAAATATCAGTACTTTACGTCTCTGCGGGGCGGCGTGCAGAGGGAGGGAGGGAGGGAGTGGAAGGGGGGCCGAGGAGGGGGAGTCCACAGAACAGCAATGTTGTGGTTATGCCTTGCTTGTCAATTTTCTTACTGTTTAATTTAAAACTAGTTTTTTTTTTAATGTTTTAGATTATTGAACTCCATTTTTCTTTTCCATCTTTTTAAATTTCTATTCCATGGAGTTACTATTAGTATTTAAATAAGATAAAAAGTAGGTCAATGCTTCAGTTTCCTCTCGACTCCTATATCGAATTTTATTATATTTGCAGACAATAGACACTATATATCAGGGAGATAACCGTTATCAGAGCATATACGACAAAGGATTATCCTTGAACGATAAGTATGACGTAGTTCATAATATATCCGGCCAATAGAGAGGTTATTTGAGAGAGAGAGAGAGAGAGAGAGAGAGAGAGAGAGAGAGAGAGAGAGAGAGAGAGAAGAGAGAGAGAGAGAGAGAGAGAAGAGAAGAGAATGAGAAGAGAGAGAGAGAGAAGAGAGAGAGAGAGAGAGAGAGAGAGAGAGAGAGACAGAGAGACAGAGAGACAGAGAGACAGAGAGGAAGAAGAAGAAGAAGAAAACGAAGAATAAAATTAAATCCATTTGGAAGGACAGTTATCAAAAGCCGCTGTCGGATTTCGTGGACAACCGAAACAAAACCTCAACATCTCACACTTTAAGAAACTACAGCTGTTTTGTTGTATCATTGGAGATCTATTCACTGAGCCCTTTATTATTGATACTATTATCCTTATCATTATTGGTATCATCATCGTCATTACCGGCAATTGTAATGGTATCGTAGTTATTATTGTTGTTATTATCATAAAAATCAGTGTTATTACTGGGTTCATTACTAACACTAATGCTATTATTATTGTTATTATCATTATCATAATCATTTGTTATGTTTTTCAATATTATTGCTATTGTTATTTTCATTATCATCATTAATATTGTCATTATTTCTATCCTTATCAATATCATTCTTATTCTCATCATTATTGTTGTTATCATTACTATTACTATTATCATTATCCTTTTTATTATCATCATTATTATTGTTGTTGTTATCATTATTATTATCATCATTATCATTATTGCTATGACTATCATTATCAGCATTATTATCATGATAATGATGATGATTATTATTGTTATTATCTTTATTATTATTATTATCATTGTTATCACTACTATTATCATTATTATTGTCATTATCATTACTATTGCTATTATTGTTATTATAATTGTTATTTTCATTATTATTTATATTATCATTGTCATTATTGTTAGTATTGCTATAATTATCATCAGTATTATTATCTCTTTATTATCATTATCATTATTGTTACTATTTCGATTATCATCATTGTCATTGTGATTAGTATCATTATTATTTATTTTTCGTTTATTATTACTATTATTTTATTTATTATCATTATCATACTAGTACTTCTTCTGCTACTACTGTCGTTGTTGTTGTTGTTATTGTTATTATAATTAATATAATGATATAATAATATAATAATAATAATGATAATAATAATATAATAATAATATAATAATAATAATAATAATAATAATAATAATAATAATAATAATAATAATAATAATGATAATAATAATAATAATAATAATAATAATAATAATAATTATTATTATTATTATTGGTATTATCATCATCATAATTATTATAATTATTATCTTTATTCTTATTATCATCATCATCATTATTGTCGTTATTGTTTTGGATATTATTGTTATAATCATTATTATTAATATTATTATTATCATTATTATTATCATCATCATCATTATCTTCATTATCATCATCATCATCATTGTCTTCATTATTATTATGATTATCATCATCATTATTAATATTACTATTATCATTATTATTAATTTTATGATTATTATTGTTATCGTTACTAATATTATTATTATCAATGTTGTTTTTGTTATTATTATCATCATTATCATTACTATTACTATTATCATTATTATTGTTGTTACCAGTATTTTTATTGCTGTTCATTATTATCATTATTATCATGCTTGTTATTATTATCATAGTTATTATTATCATTACTATTATTATTGTTGTTGTTGCTGTTTTTGTTATTGTTGTTATTAATGTTATCATTATTTTTATGATAATAATAATGATAGTAATAATAATAATAATAATAATAATAATAATAATAATAATAATAATAATAATAATAATAATAATAATAATAATAATAATAATAATAATAATAATAATAATGATAATAATAATAATAATAATATATAATAATAATAATAATAATAATAATAATAATAATAATAATAATAATAATAATAAGAATAATAATTATTATTATTATTATTGTTATTATCATTATTACTATCATTATTATTAATTATTGTTATCATTACCATTATCATTATTATTATCACTATCATTGTTATTATCATTATCATTATTATTATCATTATCATTATTATTATCATTATCATTATTATTGTTATTATCATTATCATTATTATTGTTATTATCATTATTTATTTTGTTGTTATTGTCACTGTCACCATCATTATTGCCATCATTATCATCAACATTATTCTTATCATTGTTATCATTACCATATTCAGCATGTGTCAAGAAAATTGTTAGATTTTTTACAGGAGAAATCGAATATCAGATTCATTTATCATTAAATGCTTTGCATCTTTATTGTGAGCCGGAAATATTTTTCTATACATTGCGAATAAATCGTTCCAGTATTTTTTATTTTCTTATGATTTGGACATTATTAATCAAACACATCACTTGTGCTGGTGGAAATGTGATTCATATCTTATGAGTAATGTAGGTTGTCAAGCAAAATTATAATTGATATTTAGAAATCAAACTTCTCTTTTACGGAACACGGAACAAAGGAGAGGGAATGATTCGGTGAATAAGCGACGTAAACATTGTGGTGTTGGTGAAGTACCAAAATGAAAACGTTGAGATTTTGCTCTTCTCTCTTTAGGATAAATTCGACCCAGGCGAATAAAAATGGGATTAATCCAGCTTTAAGATTTTCTACCACGTCTACTATATGGGTAAGGATAGTTATCAATACGTGACAATGAAAAGAACAGTCAGTGCCAGTGGGTTTTTAGATGGGAGGTGGACAAAAATTATTTAAGACACTGTTGATTTTTGGTAAATTAAAACAGTTAAAACAAAATTATAAAACAGAAAGCTTCATAACAGTTGACACACAGAAAACAATTGGTAATTGTTACCGATAGTGATGCACCCTCCAGAGACAATATCCCAAAACCAGGGTATCATGCAAACTGAAAACCTAGCTTAACCTTTCCTACCTTCTACATATCTGCAAGATGGGGGCAAGTCCCCCCTGTACCCCCCATTTACAAGCACTTTGTGCCAGTTTATAGAAAATGGACCTTAAGCACTCCAGCTGTGTGAAGGTGTTGTATTGTGGACTTATTCCCTGAGCTGTGATATGCAGGGGATATTTTTGTCATTTAGCAGTGAATATAAGGCCGCAACAGCTGTACCTTTGTTTTTTCTTTCTCTATTGGTAATGCTCCATTAGATGACAGTGTCCATTTTCCTCTGTCTCTGCGTGTCACTTTCAGTAGCTTATACAAAGTCAATTATTGTTTCTACCAAACCTGACACTGCTGTATTAAAAAGGTCAACAAACATCTATCTTATTTTTTAAAGAGAAACCGGAGTTCACTGTCACTGTGACATTAGGTGACCTGTCTTCATAGAATGCCAACTGCTTCAGAGCTATCCTTGAATAGATGAACTTCGTCTAGCCTTGAATATTAAGTAGTATGAAGTTATCATTTGTATATAATTTGCATACTGCTTTCATTAGAATAGCTGAATGTGAGGAATATTCTTTCCTTTACATTGCATTTCTTCAAATAAAATGCATATGCAGTTAAACAAGTGCATCAGTTGCTTATCAGTTAAGTGTGAAGGTCATAGAGTGTGCTATGGATATGTTAATTCTATATTGAATTACTTTATTTTCACACACACACACACACACACACACACACACACACACACACACACACACACACACACACACCACACACACACACACACACACACACACACACACACACAACACATATATATAATATATATATATATATATATATATATATATATATATATATATATATATATATATATATATATATATATATATATATATATATAATATATATAATATATATATATATAATATATATATATATATATATATAATATATATAAATAATAATATTGATATTTATTGATATCAATATTGGGTGAGGATGATTTTGAAATGTGTTTTTTTTTCCATATATTTTAGATTTCTTGTAAGTTTGATATTATAGATTCAGTTTGATTTTTTGTTATACATATTTGTAAAAAATAGTCATAGATTAGTATGAATATGTAAATGAAACACGTGCAAATAATTTTTCATCATATAAAATTATAAAATACATATTTAGATGGGTATGAAGGTGAATCATAGGTTCTTATCAAAAATGAAATATTTACAGAAAAAGGACTCCAGTATTTGACAGGCATTCTGTGGTCCTGGTGAATAGGATGGTGTGCATATTCTGTGATTAATTACAATCTTTGCGAATATGACTTTACGGGACAGAATTTACAAATGATGAAACTCTGTAAGCCATTTCATCACTTTGACATTAAATGCCTTATTCTAACACAGTCTCCACAGGGACCAGAGAACAAGCGTTACATACCCCGAAGAGCAGTCCTCTATGTCCCCGGCAGTGATGAGAGGAAGCTAAAGAAAATTCCGAGTCTTGGAGCAGACTGCATTGTCATGGACTGTGAAGATGGAGTTGCACTCTCCAAGAAGGTTTGGATATTGGTTATACCTTGTGGGCTTGATTATGGATGCAAATTTTTTTTTCTTGTTTTAATTTTTACTGTAGTGGCCACTGATTTCAAAATATGAATTAGGTTAGGATTGAATTAGGATGTGAATGTGAAAGAACTTTTTTTTTGTTTTTGCTGCTTGTTTTTATTTATTTATTTATTTATTTTTAATGAAAACGCAAATGACAGGAAGGCTAGACATCATTCATATGGTCTTGAAATTTGAATGTAATGAAAGGAAAAATAATCTAATAGATTATTGTATGAAATAATCAGTATTATTCAATTGCTGATCAATTTATGAAGAGTATTATTGGTAATTTTTTATACTATTTTTTACATTTTTGAAAGGACTTTCTAATTAATTTTGTTATGATCAAATGAATACACATTAACATCTGTTTATATTTCTCTGAAGCATAGTTCTAAATCTTGTTCCCTAACTGATTTATTGAAGGTGCTATTCATCTCTCTAACATTCTTCTTTAACCTACTACAGGCAGCTGCGAGATCGACAATTCATCGAGTCTTAGACAAACAAGAGATTGATTTTATGGGAAAGGACTGCTCTGTGCGATTCAATAGTGCAGACAGTGGACTGTGTGAGTTGGACATGGTGGAGGTCCTTTCAGCAGCGCACCTCCCCACCACGGTTCATCTTCCTAAGGTGGAGTCACCAGAGCAGCTTGATTGGGTGAGTATGATTTTGATTTTTTTTTTTTTCTGTATATTTTCTTGATATTTTAGATTCAGTTTGACTTTTTGTTGTACAGAGTTGTAAACTAGGCCTACCTAGAAGATCTAGAGCATATGGAAGGGAAAATAGTCTGTTACTTTCGTGATACAGTATATCAGATGCCAAATATAGACCTTGGAATATAGCAAAAAAAAAAAAAGCACTAACTCAGAAAAATAGAAATAACATTGCAAAAGGGAGGCAAGGAGTCTTGACATAACAACAGTGTTTGTGTGGCTGAATGACCCACACACCCAGGAGAGTCATCACTTAAGTAAGCCTAGAGCCCAGATTTTGGGCCACAGTGGGCAGCAAGGCATCCAGATCCAGTGGATTAACCAAAGCTAACTTAAGCTAATGTTATTAAACTATATATAACCTAAGCAAATGGGAATCCCTGCCACAGTATTGAAGAGAATATTTCATGTTTAACTATATTTTCCTGCATTATACCTTAGAATAAATGTTCCTCTAGGTGACATTCTAAGTAAGTATATGTTCATACATGCCATGCCCACCGTGCTTTATATTCTTATTTATTTCAATTTGCTATTACATTAAATTTCATGTTCTTGCTGGCTCTTGAGTTAATAGGGCCAGTCCTATCTTCATCTTTTGGTGAAGAATTTATTGTTTCCTAAACATGAATATCTCAAAATTACCACAGCTTGGAATTATGGTCATTTATGAGACAGATTAACCATCCCTCTTTTTCCTTGTCTTTTCCCTCTCTTCAAAAACCACACACCTTCTCTTCACACATATTAAATACCTCTTTCTCTCTTCCTTACTCCTCCGCAGTTTTCTGAAAAGCTGAGCCACGCCCTTGGTAGTCGGAGGCTTCAAGAAAAACTGCGACTGATAATCTTCACTGAGTCGGCCCAGTCACTCCTAGACCTCCCAGCCATTTGCCGCAGAGGGGTTGAGTTGTCTCGTGATGCCCCCTTCAGCCTAGATGGGGTTGTTTTTGGTTCAGACGACTTCTGTGCTGATATTGGTGAGTGTCTTGCTTTGACAGCTGATAGGATGATTATTATGTTTTTTGGTATTCTAATATTATTGTTGTTATTTTTATTATTGATATTTAAAAAGGTGATGATAATGATAATCATGATCAATTGTGTTTATTGTTTTTTGTTTTTGTTTAATTGTTATAATGATATTATATAATAATAATATAATAATATATAATTAATATTATATTATTATTATTATTATTATTATTAATATTATTATTATTATTATTATTATTATTATTATTATTATTATTATTATTATTGATTATTATATTATTTTATTATTATTATTATTATTATTATTATTATTATTATTATTATTATTATTATTATTATTATTATTATTATTATTATTATTATTATTATTATTATTTTTATTATTATTATAATTATTATTGTTGTTGTTATTGGTATTGTTATTTTTTTTGTTATCATCATCATCATCATCATCATTTTCATCATCTTTATTTTCATCATCATCATCGTCATCATTGTTATTATTATTATTGTCTCCGCCACAGAGGTTATGTTTTTGATAGTGTTGGTTACTTAGTTTGTTTGGTTGTTTGTTTCTTGGTTGGCAG